GATAGTTTTTTGATTCGAAAGCATTGACAAGAAATTTGTAGCTGCTGTTTTGTTTACTTTGGCCACTTATCAGACAGTGAATTTTCAGCTCTGTAAGTTTCTGGATGTTTTTGTTGTGATGTTTCATGTTTGTAGCCTTTTGCTTCTAATCAGAAACAGGATGTCTGAGCTGAATGAGATGATAGACTGAATGACAATCAGATATAGTCGAGGTAATTCAGTTCAAGCTCTGATATTTAAGATAAGACACTGAATTTGTTTGTTTCCTGGTTTAAGAGTGATTCCTCAAAATCAGGATGTCACATTTGAATACGGATCCCAATAGAAACTTTTAAATTGAAGACCAGTTTATTCATCACTCAGAGTGTTTTAAATAATTGTAAACATTTGAAAATAGACTTTATGATGAAGCTGAGAACGTCTGCTAAATGCTAGTAATTTGCATCTGGTGTGTCCTGCTGTACTTTTTAACAGGCCCTAGGCGGCTGGTTAAATGGGTGTTTTATATGTGACTGATTGTTAAGGCCACTGTTAGGCAAAATATCATAATTTGAGATTTTGAGAGTGAAGTCATAATATTACAAGAAAAAGTTGTGCTGTTTTGGGGGAAAAGTTGTAATTTATTGAGAGAAAGTTGTAATATTTTGAGAAGAATTATATAACAAAAATGCAAAAAGCAAAATGTTGGTGTTCTGCTTAGATAAGGTAAATTGGAATACGTTTTAGAATTTCCTGAAAGTCCATACTGCAGCCTACAGTTAATATTTTTACTTGTGTTCCACTTGTGTTTGAACTGTACCTAACTGGGTTCATTTTCATTTCATTGAAAATAAGGTGCTTACATTTTTTTTCTCAAAATGTTACAACTTCATTCAGAAAATTAAATCTCTGATCATTTATATATATTCCTAACTGTGGCCTTAATGCTCATTGTATATAAATTCCTGTTTATTTGTTTTTTAATCCCTTGTCCTAACTGCCTTTCATCCAGGTGTAAACAAACACACTTTCTATGGTATTACAGACTGTGTTGTTCCTGTTATGCCTCATCCTACATTTGATCAGTTGTCCTTCGATTATCAATGTGAAAATCCCAAATATGTTCTCTCTACTTGTGGACTGATGTTGCTTATTAGACTGTAACAACATTTTTATGGACCAGAGTTATACTGCTTCTGTGAGGGTACATGTGTGTGGACATGTATACATATTCATGAGTTCATGCCTTAACACTAACGATCACTACTTGACGGATTACGATTCTGCCTCGACACTAAGACTGTTAGTGATGGTGGAAGCAAACCTCCATGATGCTTTGTTCTTCTCATCTCACATATCTGAAAAGTTTTCAAGTGATTTTAATGTCATTTGTTTGCCAAGTGGTGTCTGCATCTTTTGGCTGATGTGTTAAATTTAACAGCTCTCATTGACATTCCTCACAGAGAACACTTCAGATTGAGGATTTTTAATGTGGTTACTGAGTGCCTCAAAGCCGGCGCTCTTCTCACCTTGGTGTTGTTTCCTGATGGAGAAAAGATGTAGTCCACAGAGATTTTTCAAGAAGCAGGACTGCTGGCTCCTTGCTTCACAAAACTGACTTACAAACGTGTCTGTTGATTTCTTTACTAGCAGGAAATGAGCAGCTCCATTGCTGCTGTTCAGGGTTCATTGTTTTGCTTCAGCAGCACGTTGACGGACATTTCTCCTTTTAGGTGAGTAATATTGATTCTTGGAAAACCCCCTGCAGGACTTCACCTCTGGTTTCCACAGTGAACGTGTCGTTACTGAGGCTCATTTCTGGTGTCACCAGAATCCATGACCACTACTGACCAACAGCCTACTCTACAAGATATGTGACAAAAAAAGCAAAACAAATGAATTCTTCCTCTGTTCAACTGTAATGATTCTCGTTGACTCGCCTCTTGTTTAAAAGCTGATTTCGTTGATCTGTTGCAGTATTGGCATTTTGTCATGCATCAGATTCCAACAACTGTACCTGCACCATCTTGTTTTTGTAAATTTCACTGGTATTGTAAAAACATAGACTACACTTTGAAAATTTTACTTTTTTTGCAAATACAATTTTTGTAAAAGTCATCCATGGTGTGTGTTTTCTGTAATACTTTTGTTTTGAAATGTTATTTTTCCACAGAGAAGAGTTTACCTGCAGAAAAAATACATCAGAGAATGTAAAAAAACAAACATGGCTGGAAGTGACCTGACAGTTAGCTGCTCTGTGCAGCTTTAATGCTCATTACATACTGAAAAAAAACAAACGTTGGATGCATGAAAAATGTAAAGTTTAACCTGAGGGTGGTGTCAGAGGAAAATCATGTTGTAAATCAAAAGCATCTCATCAGCATTTTGCTAAGCTGCGCTCAGACTTTAATGCTAATGTTCGTTTAATTTCCATGTTGCTGTAACTATTGGATCTCTATGTGCTGGTAGCAGCATGTCAACGTGAATACATTCACATTTAGCTTGTAACATGAAGCTTGTTTGTGTTAAATGTTAGATTGTATGATGCAACCCATGACACCAGCATTTCCTTGTGATACATGTTGGAAAGAGCAATCAGAGCACAGGCACTAAATGATCTGGCTAACATTATAAATCACTGGTGCAGAATAGTTGCATATGAACATAAATCATGTTGAGGAATTTGTATCTGATGATGTCTTTCTCTGATGATTTGTCTGTGCAGAATGCAAAGAAGCTGTTGCTCTTTGATTGTGACAGACTAACCTGAGACCTAAAACAATCTCATAAACATATTTTTCTCTTAGACTACGCTGTTTTTCCTTTCCTTGTATTTTTCAACACCAAACCAATAATCCAAATCAGTCTTTACATGTGACGTGGTTTATTGTACATAAAATATATACATTTCAGTTCTTGTAGCATTATTACATCTCCAAAGCAGCTGCTTCCTTTAGAAATTTTCACTAACTGTGGATGCAAAAGACTCTCTGCAGGAACTTGTAACTTGTTTGAGAAGCACGCTCAATCTGTTCTGACTTACACCATCCTGCCTGTAATGTTTTTTTTTTTTTTTTTTTTTTTTTTTTTTTAGATTAGTGATCACAGTTAACACACATAAGCATTTGGCAGCATGGATATGTGGGTTTAAAAAAGATGCATGACTTTCCAGAGTACTGAATGACTTATATGGCATGAAATAAGCCAACTGGGTAAAATGAAACACAACATCAACTGTGGTACCTCTTGGAATATCTCATCCAGGTGTTGGTGTTTTTGCCAGATAACCACTGGGGTTCGATAAACACAAACACGGCATCAAACAGCAACACAGGTCCAGAAATGCAAAATACACAATGAGCTACTGCTTTACTGATGAAGTGATTCAGGCAGACTCAGTCATTAAAGGATGAAGAGATCTGAATAGGTTTGAATAAACGAGCCTGCACTGTATCAGATGTCATAACGAGGCCTAAATTGAAAGCCATCTTTCACAATAACCTCAGTGACTAATTACATGACTGATGACGTTCCCACACGCTGCCTGGTGATCTGGTACTGCCGTAGACCAGCCATCAGTGGAAACCCTGAAGATTCCTCTGCTGTATTACAGCTACAGCCAGAGTCAGCGCGTTGTATTTTTAGCACTTCCGTCAAGTCGCCTCGTCAGTTGAAGTGAGCAGTGCCAGCTCTGCAGGCTGCACTGCTCCTCAGCAGAGCTTTCACTGTAAACAGTCAACATGAAGGTTGGGCTCCTCCAAACAGTGACAGCTATTATAGACCACAGGCCAGCTGTGTTTGTGGTGCGTGTGTTTGTGTTTGGTGAGGACGCTTTTTACTGCTTCTTCGGTTCTTTAGTTTAAGATAAAAACCTGAGTTCAGAGTTTAATGTAGAAGACAGGCTTCGTGTGTATTTAAGCGTGGTGGGGTTGGTCACTTTAAAGAGAGTATAGAGTTAGTTTATTCATATAGAAAGTATATTAATTATAAGTATAGTCATAGAGAAATGCATTTTACCCAGTAGGTGCACATACACAATGAAACTAGGTCACCAGTTAGGAACGTGTTGCAATATAGGAACAGGATAAGATAATGTAACAAGCACGTGGAGGACAAACTACTTCTGCTTCAGAACTAAGATGTGAAACTGTGATAAATGTATCTGTCAAATTATAATATAACTGTGAGCAATGTAATAGATAAATAAGATATGGAGTCTGTTTACTTTCAGTGCTTTTCAGGTGACTGCGCGATATGTTGAGGTTCATGGCTTCAAAAGTAGGCCTACAAATAATTCACTGTGAATTCAAACTGTGAACTATTGTAAAACTGTTTCCAGTAAGTTCGATTTGCTTGGTCTTCATTTGTGTGGTTATTCTAATGTAGCCTGCTAGAGCATATTTTTATTTTGGTATTAGCCACAATTTCCTTCTCCTAATCTGTGTGTGTGTGTGTGTGTGTGTGTGTGTGTGTGTGTGTGTGTGTGTGTGTGTGTTCATGTCTTTCTATTGCTGTGGGGACATTTTGGCCAGTCTTCACAACTTCAAAGGGCCTTTTCAGGTTTTGGTTAGGGTAGGGGCTGGGGAATGCATTGTGTCAACAAGTGTCTTCACAGGGAGAATAAGACAAGAATGTGTGTGTGTGTGTGTGTGTGTGTGTGTGTGTGTGTGTGTGTGTGTGTGTGTGTGTGTGTGTTCTTTAAGCTCAGGGTAAGGTTGTGTTTAAGGTTAAGGGACAGGGTTAGGCAAGTAGTCATAAGGTTAAGGTTAAACAAGTCTCCAGGAGATGAATGTATGTCGATGTAATCAAGACACCATTGTGTGTGCGTGTGGGTGTGAGTGTGTGTGTGTGTGTGTTTTGGTGGGTTGGGGTGGGGGTGGGGTGGGGGGGTGGGGGTGTTGTTAAGTGAGTATTTCCAGAATATGACGGAGCCGAGCGGGTGGGCGGTGCTTGGCGGCGCGCAGCAGCCAATAGGAAGCCTGGTTGTCGCTGTCAAACACAGCTGATCGATGAGTCAGGGAGCGACAGCCGAAAAGGTCCCACTTGTTGCTGAGCAGGAGCGGCGATCGTCAGCTGGCCACCGAGCTTTGATCCATACTCACTTCCCATCCTGAAATCTGTCCGCAGATAAAACTAGAACCATCTGTGCAGCCTGAACAGCTGCTTCAGTGCAGGATCACTCTGCTGCCGCCTGGTTCACAGCTCTCAGGTGAGTTGGTTTTACCATTTAAACCTCTGACAGCCGCTCCATTCAAAGAGAGGGCTGTCGGTGTTTTAACTTTACCCGGCGGTGTCAGCAGCTGACCGTCACAGCGGAGAGAGCCGGTCACTAAAATGTGTTCAGAGATGAGACGTCGGTAGTTCCGTCCTCCCACTGGCTCTGTGAAAAAGACGAAAAAGACGCGCTGTGTTTTTCTGTTTATTTAATTTGTGGGCAGTAGATTGAATGTGTGGTGAAGTAGTCTGGAGTTCATACAGAGCTAATATATTAGAATAACATGTAAACGGGCCCTATTCATTATTACTGTTACACTAATATAGCCTAAGCCATAAAGGCTGCACAGTTAATAATCAGAGGAATATTATCGAAGCTCCCAGTCACACACTGGTGTTGCCGAGGAACAAATGAGCTTTTTACATAATAAACTGCGTTACTATATACTGTCAGCCATCAGTGGGATTCATACACACCTTAATGAGGGTCCACTGAGTGGGTCAAATTGGTCTTTGACTGACAGGGTCTTTGGAGGTTTTATGGAGGGAACAGGTTGTTGTAGGTCCATAAGTGTATCCAGTTGTTCAGTGCTTCCTTTAAGCGAGCTTGAGCGGGATTCATGTGTCTGAAGCGGCTGGCAGGGGTCCCTGACTGTGTCTCTGGGCCACCAGGTTCCAGAGGTTCTTCAAAGGGCTCAAGTCAGATTTTTAAAGGTTTTTTAAGAGTTTATTTTCTCTCTTACTAAATCCAGAGCTGGAACAATTAGTTGATTAATTGACAGAAAGATAATCTGTATTTTAATTTTGATTGATTGTTCCATTATTTTCCGGCAGAAAACTTCTCTTTCCAGCTTGTCAGATGTGAGACGTGTGTTTTGTATCATTGTAGATGAGTTATCTTTGGATTTTTGACTGTTTAACCCTAACCCTAATTAAGGGCATTTTTCACATTTTTGTACATTTCATAGAGCAAAAAATTGATCAAAGAATGGAAAAAATAATATAGCAGTAGTTGCAGCCCTTTAATTCTGATAGGCATGATATCAGTCTTGTTACCTCGTATGTGTGTGTGTGTGTGTGTGTGTGTGTGTGTGTGTGTGTGTGTGTGTGTGTGTGTGCCTTCACCTGCCCTGCTGTGACTCTCATTTCCCCAAATGGCACCACTTGACCCACAGATATGACTGAAGTGTGATGGCTTGTTCTCCCTCTCAACATCTGGCTCATCTGCATTTCAGCTCAAGTCAATACAATTTTATTCACCCATGTGAGGAGAATTGTGTGCAGCAACTCACACAGTAGATAAGAAAGTGCAAAAGCAAAGACAACAAGCTTATTAACACTTAAACTATTATTATTATAGCTTAATTGGTTAAAATACATTGATAATAAATAATCTATTTTAAAATGTCTAAAAAGATACACAAGGTAAAGAGGGATTGACAGCAGCAGCGAGTGGGATGAAGCTGCTGGAGTACATGAGTTACTATGACAATGAATGTGTGATTTACTTGGTTAAGCTTCTAATATTTAATCATTGACTTCACAAGGTGAACTACCAACACAGTCCAAAAATAAATATGTTGATGCTTTTTCTCACTTTATGACTTTATTAGCTCTTAGTTTAAACCAGCACTTACTTAGAACATGAAGCGTTTTATGGATTACAACATGTCAGCGCACGAATGTGTTGAACCACATTATAACAGAAACTGGGTGAAATGAGTTGTGGTGGGTCTACCACCCTCCACTTCAACCAACACCACCCTCCACCTCCTCCACTGCATCCCTTTGACCTGCAATGCACCATCAGCAGTTCCACTGCATGCTGTGCATGTTCATTGTGCGTTGTGTACACTGACTGTTCGGAGCATTACCAACACCAGCTCATCCTGTCAAACGGACTGAGTGGCTGGAGGTAATAATACGCTGCCTCACGGTGTCCTTCAGTTTAAATGAAAACAAATTCAATTCAGCCAAGAGGAACCTTTCGAGGTGTGGTTACAGGTCACATCTTTGTTTTGGTGAAATTTGATTCACTTCCTTCTTGCTATGTAAACTACTTGCAAAGAATCTTTTTTTGTACAGTTGTGATGCTGTTGCAGGTTTTATTGACAAAATCAATCCACACATAGATGGACATTTAAACACCTGCCACCACACTGAAAACTACAGTACCTGTCTCCAGGACACACACACACACACACACACACACACACACACACACACACACACACACACACACACACACACACACACACACAGCTTGTTTTAGTTCTCATAAAATTAGTAAAGTGTGTCAAGGTAATAAAACCATGTCAAGTAGGTTTATTGAGTTATTGAGCTGTTAAAGCAGATATCATTAGTGCTGAGGTACAGTACTGTGTCATAATGAGACAAGAAAATATTTCATGTTTTCCTCAGATGTGATTAAAAACTAGCTTCAGGTCTTAATGATAAGAAACACAGTGAGTTGAGCCGTCTGCAGGTTTGGAGCTGTTAGTTTCACATGTTCACAGATGCTGAGGCAGCAGAGCAGAAAGAGCAAAGTTCACACTGGCAGAGCAGGAGCCACCTCCATAGCTACTGATCAACCAGACTGTCAGATGTGGTTCTGTAGGTGATGACACTCAAAACTACTTACTACCAGCTAAGTGTTACAGTGCCAAAGTAGACTTCCAGTGGTCCTCCTGGTGTTCTCTGAAGTCAGTTTATTCCTGGTGTTCAGGTGTTTCTCAGGACTCAGGTGATGTGGCTGTTTCCTGCAGAATGTTTTTCCTGGGCTTTTCCCCCGTGGAAAGTTTCTCCCGCTGGAAACCTTTTTTTCTTCTTTCTCATCTGTGCCATCGTGGCTCCCGTTAACTCCCCAGCTCTTCTTCTGTTTGCACCAAACAAATCACTGTTGTGGCTGGAAACATAAAATATATCACTTCCTGTGTGCCAGAGAATATTTCCAAGAAAGAGCCAGCAGGCGCCGAGTGTTTACAGCTGCAAATGTTGCTTTACGTCATTTAAAGCAGCATAATGTGGTACTTGTTTGACACCTTTATCTGAATCACCACTGAGAGTGTGCACACATAACCATGGTGGGCTTCCAGTAAATGCAGAGTCAGTTTAACATGAAGTCGCTGACCTTTTATACATAAAAACTACATGTTGGTGATTGTTTTCTGCTCAGTCCGTGTTGTGCAGTTGTGAGGCTGTATCCGGTCAACTGATGAGATGCTCAGAGACTGTGTCCGTCACGTTTCATGTAACACCACTGCATGTCAAAGCAGAGGAAGATTGTATCAGATAATACTGAGATACATAGATACACTGACATTTAAGGCGTGCCAGAATAACGTCAGCAGTGATTCTGATTATGGTGTTGATGCGTCACATCTTTTTACACATGTTTCATTCATGAACTTGTGAGGATATGGTGTGAGTGATGCCGGTCAGTCATTTCACAGACCTGTTATGGTCACAGCAGCATCACAGCGTGCAGCTCTCATCTGACGGGAGCTGTAGTTACAACCAGTTTAGAGAAAGAAAGAGAACCATTTTTTATTTTATGTTGTCAAAAGATTCTGTTGCTTCTCTGTTTCCAACTTGACAAACATTACAGCAGAAGTTATAATATCACAGAGGGCCATGATGACTAAGATGCAGACATCCCACGCAGGCTGTGGTCACAGAAGATGGAGCTGTGAATATGTGTGTGTTTCAGTGTGTGTGTGTGTGTGTGTGTGTGTGTGTGTGTGTGTGTTAAACCTCTGCAATGTTTGAATTCTGTATGTGTGTGTGTGTATGTGTGTGTGTGTGTGTGTGTGTGACTGGCATATTGAGGCAGGTTGGCCCTCCCTCGCTGCTCTTGAGATGACTGGCATCTCTCCTGACATTAAAGCACAAAACACACACTAAAGATAGCAAAGCACAGACAGACAAACATTTCCACACACTGAAAACACTGTGGCATTTAGGCTGGCACTCTCACACAGGCCTGGCTCTGTTGGCACTAGTTTATCTCAGGAAGTGTGTGCCCACGAAGAGTGTGGTGCAAGTCATCTGGAGAAAGAGTCTGGGTTCTTGCGGTGATGGGTTTCTGTTTCAGCATTAAGAAAGTTTTACTGCTGCTCAGCTGCAGCGCTGTCAAGTGTGATTATTGGTCAATATGGTCAGTGATGAAACTGTGTCACAGTCAAAGGTTTCACACAGTTTAACTCCTTGTTGACTGAAAGGTTGAGGACAGGACAAGTTTACTGACATGTTGAGGATGTAGCAGAAGACAGAAGAGACCTTCTATGGTCCATCTTAAAGTTCCTCTCCAGACATGTTTTACACTATGTTTAAATCATCTGCTATGATTCATATTTTTGTTTAAAAAGTGAAAAAAAAAAGACTCTTGAATCAAATCTAGTGCTCTTACGTCCTCATTGAGAAATCAGGCCTTGTGCCCCACCCACATCTGGTCAGTCAGACCCAGACTCAGATGAGGAGTCTGTCGTGACCAAAATCAGAGACTAGCAGACGTATCAGAACGGTTAGCTAGTTAGCATCTTTTACCCCAGACATTCTCTTGTTAAAGCTTCTCACTGAATATTTTTGGTTGTGGATCAAAACATGTGATAACATCACCTCAGGTTTTCCTGATCTTATGTAGACTAATGATTAATTTGGAAACTAATCAGCAGATCAATCAATTAAGAAAATATTGGTCAGCTGCTTTTCTTTTCCGATGTGTTTGTTGTCTAAAGTTACGTGGAATAGTTAAGTGGAACACTTTGTAAAAGTCCCTCTTTGCATCACAAACAACAGAAAATGTCAAACCACAGCCATGACAATCAAGCACTGTTTACTGTATTAGTGTTAATTACATCAAGATACCATCTCATTTTAATGATGGTGTTTAGATGATGAATTCCATGTTAACACCTTGTTAAATGAATGTCTGCACATTTAAGTTCAGCCTGGGGGTTTTCATGCACACACAGGAGGTCAGTGGTTAAAAATTCAAAGTGCAGATCTTCATCACTGCAGCTGCTCAGTGACCAGCAGCAGGATCCAGCTGTGGCGAGGTGGCTCTCAGCAGCTGACAGGTCTGAATCAACACCACAGCTCTGTCAGTCTTCTCTGGATTAAAGCTAACCACAGGCTGGTCTACATCTGACAACACGCTTAGATGGAAAAACCCCTTTTCTGACACAGCTGTGATGTCACTTACAGTGTGGACATTTACTTCACAGCTCCTGATAGTGAGGGAGGTGTGGCCTCTGTCCTTCTGTCTTGTCCTCACTCTGTCTGTGTGTGTGTGTGTGTGTTTGTGATTGCCACATGTGTGTGAAGATGGCCACTGGTGTGTTGTGTGTTTTCTCTGCCTCTGACTCTCCATCTCTGCTATCTCATCAGGAAGTCTGGTTTGATGTCTGCGTCAGTCCTCTATCCATGGCCGTGTGGACGCATCAGTCTGGTCTGTGGACTCCTCCTCCTGGCCTCCTCGCCGCTCCTCGCTGCAGGTATGACCTCTGACCCCACCAGGCCACCCACACCCCTCATTCATTAATTCATCATTCTCTATGGTTTTACCTTCCTTCATTTGTACAAAAACGAGCATTTACGCAGGAAAAGATTCAAAAATCCTTTGTATTCACATATTTCAAAGTATTTGTATGCAGCCAATACAAACTTCTTGCCCCCTGAGAGGAGCGTCCTCTTCAGCTCGCCTGCTGCTGTATATTATTGTGAATATAAAAACAAACATGAAACTGAAAAAGACTTTTTAGAGAATCTTTTGAAAAGAGCAAGTTTCTTATCATTTCATTGTGTGATATGCAGCCTCAGTGAGATACTGAAACAACCTCAAACACTTCATCACCCAGAATTATAAATGTTCACCAGTGGTTTGGATTGAAACACAAAGTTATATCAGACTTTTATCATAACTGCTTTTGAAACACTAGATGAACTTTGTACAGCACGTCGCAGGATATTGCCAGTTTCTGTTCAGCTCAACATCTTCACTCTGGTTCAGAGGTTCAAAACTAAACTGCCTGGTTCTTCCTCTTCACACTGCTCACTGCTGAGTTTATATTAGTTTATTAGTGTTCTGAAACTCATCAGAGTCTGTGTGGCTGTGAATCAGTCCTCTTGCTGTCTCTAAGTGCATGAATAACATGTCTAAATTATAATTCCTCTTATTCTTATGTTGTGAAACCATTACACTGAGATAAACTGTTAGTTTAGACTAAATGTATGCGCCACAAATCTACTGCTCCGAAGTGGAGGAGGTGAGAAAAATCCCACAAGCTTTATTTGCAGAAACTCTAGTGATTTTCCACTCTCAACCTCACTCTTGACCTACTCTTCGCATGTTGGTGTTTGGGGTTAAGGAGCTTGCTGGGGCAATGGAAATCATAATTCTTATGCAGACTTTCAGGGTGGAGGGTGAAGAAATAGAGGAAGTGGGTAATAGTGTTAGCTGCTTTGGCAAGGCTGTCCATTGAGTAAGCAGAAAAGGTTTGTGTGCAGCCTTCTTTTCTCTGAGTAAACGGCGAGTTGCTGGAAATGAGCTCACAGTACCCATGCATGCAACATTAACGTAAACCCACCTCTCAGCATTTGTTTGCACTAACAATATCACCTTTCCTCTTGTCATCCATCACCCCCTCACATCAACACAGTGTGTGCATGCTGCTCTTTCTCACAGAGCAATGAAACAACACCAACAACAAACAGACACATGGACATTGTCCTGGTGCCTTGTTCCTTTCTCTTGTTCATCGACTTTCACCGTCCTAAGCTGCTCAGTAAATGAGCAACAGCTATTGAGAGAGGAGTGCAGGTCCTACTTTTATTGTCCTTAAATATCAGCTACATGCTGTGTTGTGACAGTTTAAATCTATGAATTATTACCACATCACTTATAGGTTAATGACATAATTACCATGAACGACTGGACAATAGCTGCAGAGGTTGGCAGCTTTCACGGGTGTTACTGCATTTACTGGCCCAGTGAAATCTAATCTTCTTTTCAGCATCAATGAGAGGAAATCAGTATTTCTACAAAGCAAACAGAGCTAAATCTCTCAGAGTTTCTGACAGTGGCAGCTGGAGCAGAGAAGAGTGAGAAAATCACCTCCAGAATGTTTATCCTCTTCTTTAAAGCCCAAAGAAAACAAATGCATGTAGAGCAGTGCTGCAGAGGTGGAGGAGGGGTAGGGGAGAAGAGGGCTTTATTGGAAATGTTTTCATTCTGAGAAATATAAACCCTAACCAGAAGCAATAATGTGCCGTGGAGGTCGCAGATGATCTTGACTTCCAGTGCACAATGGCGACACAAACATCTCCGCCTGCTCTCATCACAGTGTTTCTTTGTGTCTCTGCAGGCAGGCTGAGCAACTGCACTCACCCTCTGGTGCCCGAACACGGAGGCTTCCGCTGCGATCCGTCTCCGTGTCGAGGGTTCCCTCAGAAGAGCTCCATCCATTTCTTCTGTGAGCCCGGGTACCACATCAACAAGGTCCGCGTGTCCAGGTGTCGCCACGGCAGGTGGCAGCCTCCGATACCTGCCTGCATCCCCATCAAAGGTGAGAGTTTGGAAGACTGAATAGACTGGATCTAACAAGTATTTGTTGAGGGTTTGCTGTTTCACTGCAACCTGTTTGGGTTTGACATGAACTGACATCTGTTTACTAATAATTAACGCTTGAAAAAAACAAACTAGTTTGTCTATCATCGTTTAATTGGTCATTGTTCAAGAAAAATGACAAACAGTTTTGGTTTCAGCTTCACAAATGTCAGAATTTGCTGCTTTTTTTCAGTTTGGTTGGTCAGACACAGTTGGTCACTTTTGGCTCCAGGAAATTGAGATTTATATTTTTCAGTATTTGCAGACATTTCATAGAAGAAATGACTATAATAAGAACTTAAATCTGTAATGAAAATAATTGTAATACAAAGTGTTTTAGACCATTTGTAGCAGAGATTATTTCAGGCCTGTGGAGCCTGAGCACAAACACTCTGGAGTTTGGCTAAAAGCCTCCTGCAAAGAAGACACAAGTCATGTGACTTTAAGATTCCTTTCTTTATTAGTAAGCAGATATTCTTGGAGGACTGTAAACATCTCTTGACATTTCCCAGCAGCACCGGGCATCACAGCGTTCCTCTGTGATTACCTCAGTGTGTAATCTACTCGTGACTCATCACAGTTCATCCAGTCGCTTTAGAGGCTGATTAGTCATGTCAGCGCCAGTTCCTTATTGTTTTGAGTGTTCAGGAAGCAGTGGGTGTGTCACTGTTGTGTTCAGGTTATGGGGTTTGATTCCCAGTAGGGTTCCTAAAATACGTGTCACTGCTGATTCCAGACATGAGGGCATTAGCCAGCATAAGAACACTTTAAAAGAGATTTTTACTCTTCTTTCAAATGTTTGATATGATTTTTTTGTTGCTACGACAACTCTATCCACCTGAGTTTTATATCCTCTCACAAATGAGTTAATCTCTTTAATATCAGAAGTCATCTTTAATCAATATGATCAGGAAGAAAAGTAACTGAAGCTTTGAAGGTGTAGATCAGGTTGTGTCAGGTGTCATTTCACCATTTCAGCACTAATACCAATAACCATTAAACCCCAGAGCATCTTGACACAGAGGCCTGATCCCTCCCGACAGCAGCAGTGTTTATCATTTGACCTACTTAACAGACACCCGCAAACACGCTCAGACTCTCTGCAGGGGAACTATAAAGCTTTACTTTCCTCCGACCAGTTCCGACTTCCTCTGTTACCATTCACTCGATCATGCTGTGACAAGAAGTCAGAGTGCAGAAAGAGGAAGCGGGCGAAGCCGCCATGATAACCATTAAACATTTCCTCTGCGTTGGTGCTGTCAGAGCCTCATGGAAAGCTACTGCCGTATTCTCAAGGTCACAGAAAAACCACATGACTTGATCAAAAACTTCCTTTCATAGATCTAGTATTGGATAATCTATTGCGATAAGCCCCTCACCACAGAAAATCTGTTTTCCCACAGTACACATAACTGTTAGGCCTCTATCACAGCTGCAGCTCACTGTCTCTGTTGTTTCTCACATCTTTGCTGTTGTACAACAAAAACATATCTGGCGATCTCGGTGTCAGATTTTTAGATTTCAGCTCTGGTTGATTTGGTGACACCTGTAGTTACTGGAGCAAACAGCAAAACTAACTATTCTATTTGATGCTGCACACAGCATGAGTCTGTGAGCAGCAGGGCTCAGTCAACAGAGCTGGTTAGAGAAGGTTGGAGGTGTGCGGCTGACTGTGGCTGCTCCTTCTTCTTCCATCACTCCCTGCAATATTTCAAACTGCTCCACTGTCTTACTGTACATACAGCATTTTCTCCATGAACGTTGCCACAGACACCTAATTCATAAAACTGTGTATATATAAATGTACTAAAAATACTTTCATCAGTGGCTCATTCACCATTGTGTCATAGAGACTGTGTGGTAGATAGTTACTTAACAGACATTCATTTAAATGAATATCTTTGAGATTGCTACCTCAGCACAAACCACATGCAAACACTGTAGTGTTTCTTCTTTTTCTGTTTGTCCTGTGGCTGTGATTAATTATTTTGTTTCTTTTTCAAGTAATATTAAGCAATTAATTATTTAATGTATAAACATCAAAAATAGTAACATATAAGTTTCTAGAGCCCAATTTGACGTAATCAAATAGTTTGTTTCTTCAAAAAACCTCAAAATTCTCCACACTTATAGAAAAAGGAAAATATTTGTACATTTGTGAACCAACATAGGATTTGGTGTTTTATTCATTTTATGGTAAA